AATTTTACATAAAAAGTTTTGAGTTTCACAAGTCCAGCTTTTTCGGATGCACTCCTTTGAATATTTTGATAACGACTCAAAATCGTAAGCGACTCAAAATCATCTTACGATTTTGATAGAGCTGATAGAATATTTAATTAGTCACTTTTTTTTCTTTTCTTTTTTTTTTTTTTTCGGTTGGTCTCAGTAACTCAATACGACCAAAAATGTGAGATAGAACTTTGCACTTCTTAGGTAGTGGAGTGTCCAAAAACAGCAGAGGGGAAAGAAAAGAAGTGCGACCTAACAGTAGCCTATAGCAGTAATACATTGGAAGTGAGTCTGCTTTGTTTTAACTGGAAGTTGGGAGCACACACAGACGAAAAATGGTAATAAATCACAGGCTGAGAGTAAGCATCTCATTTTTACCAGGGAACAATTCAATATTCAGCTGTTATGAACTCATTAGACTATGCCAGTCTGGTACATATGGCAAGGAAGGATAAGGGTTCAATGAACCTTTAAGCGCAGTAAGAATATTACAGAGGCAGGACATCTGATTCAACGTCTATAACTGTCTCAAGGAAGTGGAGCGCCAGGAAAACTCACAAATAACCAAACCCACGAAAGATCCTGTAAGCCTCAAAAGGGAAACACCAGCCTGGAGGTATAGTCAATAAAGGGAGCATGTTCTTGCTTAATTAGTAGAATGTAAAAGATAAGATAAATCTTTATTGTCCAAATCCTGGCACATTGGTTTGGTGTTTCACCCCGTACACACACACAGACGCACATACGCACACATACACATGCACATACACACACACACAAACAACCACACACGCACACGCACGTGCGCACACCCATACACACATACTCTCTCAGGCATCCCTGTCCTCCACATACATCTGTGCACATAAACATTTGTGTCACAATGTGGTGGAATCAGACACTCATCAATTTTTCGGCAGGTGAAGTTAATAGTATCATCTTAAAGCTTGTTTATTTGTCTATATGTCGATGAAAAACTACCCATCTATCTGGCATAGAACTTGAGATATTTGAGACTGCATCTTTTCTTTTGCATGTGGCGGCAAAGCGTCTCACTGCCATACCCCAGACACTAGTGAATGGTATATAGGCAAGGAGTCAAGGAGACGGCGCTCATGCAATCGACATACCTGAAGTAACAAAAACTTCCTCCACCGTGGAATTCCCTCGTGTGTTCCAAGCCACGACACGAACAACATACTCCGTGTTTGGACTCAAGGAAGGGACACGAGCGCTCACGTAGCCCTCCTCATCGCGTTCATCCAAGACGTCTTCCACAGCAAGCATCCATGAGTCACCTCCAGACCGACCGACATCAATACTAAACATCTGCTCCTCCCCACCATTGAATCCTGGCAGCCAGGCTAGCAGTAGTGAATTGTGGGACACACTGACTGCTGTCACATTAGTCACGTGATGAGGCGGACCTACAAGACAAATAAAAACAAAAAAAGCTAAGTTAGTTTTTAGTCTTAGAAAGAGTTTTACGGCACTTGCAACACAATAGGGTCATATAAGTGTCGAAGATCTGAGGTGTTACAAGAGAGTTACAAACACAAAAAAAAAGGAGGAGAGATAAGGACGATAGGAAAGGAACAAACCACGCAAGAGCACCCACAATCACCCGCGGATACTTATTTTGACGAAACTAGACCAAAGCAATGAGCTATGTTGAGGTTCTCCAAGTATATTGCTCTGGGCCTACCTTTGCCTCATTTGCCTTCAATTTTGCCAGTGAGAGCTAGATGTTCAAGGCCTTTATGGCTATAAAAGTGTCCCAGAAACTGCATTTATCTTTTTCTGATTGTTTTCATTTGCGAGCCGCCCACGTAGGCCATTTCAAGTACTACCCCATTTGATTTCCATTCTTTCCAAGAAGTTTTCAGCAGTCTCCTACAAAACCACATTTCGGATGCTTCTGTTGTGTTTTCAGTGATTGTCCAGCATTCACAGCCTGACAGAGGGGTGGCTACACATAGCAATTTAGAACTTTCATTTTTTAAGTCATTGAGATGCTTCTATTTTTCAGGATTGGGCTCATTTTATTGAAACTATCTTTAGCCATTCCAATTCTTTGTTTTATTTCTGTGGAACCTTGTTTTATCTTTTCACCTTTGCTTATGAAATTACAAATAGAATTAACTCCTTTTTTTTATACTACCACTCATTCTGGATTTTTTTTTCACATTCAACAATAAACTTTTACATTCACATTCTGTTACAACAATATCCAGAAGCAATTGAAGCTTCTTTCCTGAACCGGCTATAAAACTGTGTCATCGGCAGATCTGATGTTAATTGCTTCGCTGCATATGTTAAAGAGGTCTGGTGACATAACCTCACTCCTTTTTTGATCTGCTTATAATTATTAGCTGTATTCTCATTTATTATTATTATTATTATTATGATTATTACCGTTATTGTTATTATTATTTTTACTATTATTACTATCATCATCATTATTATAATTATCACTATCATTATTATTAATAAAAAACAATATAAGAGAGGAGAAAGGATACCTCTTGGGCGAATGACAAAGCTGAACTCCTCTGTGAAGACAGAAGACTCTAGAGTGATGGTGAACGTGCGATCGGCATCGTTGAGGTCCAGTGTGCGGATGCTGGAGAAGATGAACTTGGTGAGGTAGGCCTTCCCCTGAAAGTTGCTCTCTGAAGACACCTGGAAGTCTTGACCATGGGTCTCTACTTGTGTGCTGTCAAAAGAAATTAGACATTTTTCTAAAGGGTGTTTCTTTATTGCATGTTGACGATTTATTGCTTTTTTTTTTCATTTAAAAATCTTTCCACATCAAAGGGGTTTCTTTGTCCCCTTCTTCTGAAGAGGAAGAGAACATGACAGGTGCAGGTGGCTTTGGGAGAAGCCATTTCCTACCCATATTTATCAAATAAAGTATTCATTGTATACACCAAAATGAAAAACAAAGAGCAGTGTTAGAAAAAAATATGCCTGTACAAAGAATGGATCCAGGCATTGTAAAAAAGAGATCTCTTTTGGTGGGGAAATAATACCATTCAAGTCATTAGTTGACAAAATCTCTGAATACCTGTCGGCAGTCCATCTTCACAAACAGTCAGATTTTTACGGTATGTGCCACAACATGGTGTATTCAGGCACTTGTCAATTTTTGGACATATGGAGTTATTGGCATCATCTTAAAGCTTGCTCATTTGTCTTCATTTAAAAGAAACACCACCCAACCATTTTGGGTAGCAGTTGAGATATTTGCAATTGAAGTCAGAAAATGGCCACCAAAGTTTGTTGACTTCCAAAGCTTGAGTATTCTCTGAAATTGCAAGTTCACGTTTTTTGTGCCTTTGATCAACGTTTTTCAGTAAAATCCAAATGTTCAGCAAAAAAAAAAAAATGTTCCAAAAAGATTCGATAAAAATTACCTAACGAGTAGAAAAATGCTGGTTTCTTTAATTTCAGTATTAATCTATCAAGCGCCGAATTTCACCACGATACCTCACATATGCTAAAACAACACTTCTCATGGCCCCATAGCTGCCAAACACGGAATATCAGATATGAAACTATCAACTTTTAACACTTCCCCTACGAAACGCATGCCTGTGTGCGCCAGCTTTCTTTACCATTCGCTGCGCAGCGCACGCCACTGTGCGTCATGAGAATGTTCGTTCAATGCGGAACGCACATACTGGTGCGTTTCAACTTTCACTTTTTTTTTTTACAGAAGAATAAAGGATTTGGTGAGGGATGTGACTCTAATGATATGATTGAAGGTCTAAACATTTATTTGATTTCTTCCCTTAGACTTCAAGATGATTTTAGCGAGGGTTTTTTTCGAACGAAACGATAGATGTTCCAACTGTAGTCGAGCTGAAAATGACATCCTCCAGTAGGCCAAAGCGAGCGCGTCTCATGCCTGCAAATACTGCACTAGACATGATATTTTAAGAGGGATTTGAAGAAGAAGAGTCTATAGATCATTACAGTGATAGTGATAGCGAGTATGAACCAGACGACGGTCTAGATCTAGACCTAGTCCAAGTGTTCAACTTGTAAAAAAAAATGTAATATTTTGCCGCTTTTTTAGGTCAATGTTCATACCCTTGCTGTCATATTTCATATTACCACAGCTCCTTTTCCTTTCCACACAACATTCTATAGATCTTTAACTTTACATATGTGCTGTTTTGTACTTCTAAACTTATTTTGCAATAAATGGTGGATTTTTTACGGACCCCACAAAACACTACATTTTTAGAGAATAGACTATTATTTTAGATACGAATAGAGGGAATACCCAATTAGCTGGGGCTACGTAGGGAAAGTGTCAAACAAAAACTTGTGCACAGGGCAAGACTTTAGCCAAAATCCAAATGGAGCAGGGCAACCTTGAAATGTATCATAATTCTAATGTTGACTTTTGCTGTCGTCAAGTGAACTCACCCTCCATTTCGCGTGGACACGACTCTCTTGACGACAGGCGGAGGGACTGCCCTTATGACAAACTCAAACTTGAGACCAGATGGGATCTGCCATATATACTCCGACTTGAGCGAGAATTCCTCGTCCGTCACGCTGCTTGGGCGGCCTGGCCAAAAAGGAAAGTTGTTGTGAAGTAAGAGTTTTAGTTTTCGTAAGAGTATTTTTTTAAAGTAAGAGTTTTATGGCACTTGCAACACAATAAGTTCATATGAGTGCTGAAGATTAGAGGTGTTACAAGAGAGTAACAAACACAAAAAAGAAGGAGGGGAGATAAAGATAATAGATGTTTGATAGGAAAGAAGAAGCAAACCACACCAGAACACCCGCCAACCACCCACTCATAAGAGTTTTATGGCACTTACAACACAATAAGGTCATAAAACATACAAACGCTGAAGATTAGAAGTGTTACAAGAGAATAACAAACATAAAAAGAAGGAGGAGAGATCAGGACGATAGATGTCTGATAGGAAAGAAGGAACAAACCACACCAAAGCACCCACCAACCACCTACACAAAGTGGAGGAGGGGTGGGGTAAGAATAAGGAGTCAACGTGTTAGTATTTTAGCCTCTGTTAAAAGGCAGCTTGCACTGTATACACTTCCCAGGAAGATGTGATTGTTTGAGAATGCTGTCTAGTCTGCTGGGGTAACAAGATATTGTGAAGCCCCTAGAGTTTGCAGTTGAGTTGGAATTTGCACCAAGCAAATGCTATTCATTATCATCATTATCATTATTATCATCATAATTATTTTTTTAAAATAATTATTAAGAAGGAGTCAACACATCATTCTGTTTAAATGAATAAAGGCAAACACTTTAGGTAGATACTGTTAAGTTAAATTTTGAAAAGACAAAAAAAAAACAAAAAAAACAAGCACAATGACGTGTATCATGCATAAGATCACGACATATAAAAAGTAAAAGAAATAAAAATCTAAAAACAGCTTGAAAACACAATGAGGTGTATCTTACATATGATCAAGACCTATAATAGGTAAAAGAAATCAAAGCTCTTAAAACAACTTGAAAAGCGTAATGAGGTGTATCTTACATATGATCATGACTAGAAACATGAAAACACAATGAGATGTATCTTATATATGATCATGACATAGAAAAGGTAAAAGAAATAAGCTCTAAAAACAACTTGAAAACACAATGAGGTGTATCTTACATGTGATCATGATGTCGATGCTGGACTGCATGCGTGTGACCTCATTCTCCCCAACGCACGTGTAGATGCCGCTGTCCTCACAACGGGAAGCCTCCAGGACGAAGAAGCTGCGGTACCAATGCTCCGTCACACTGCTGCTGGCGACCGATACTTCCGGACCATGACCCTGCTCCGTCTTCAGGAGGCTCATGGTAGGGGAGAGCCACCTGTACAAGACAGAAGCTTTAGTTTTTATTAAGAGTTTTATGGCACTCGCAACTGCATTTAGAAGGATTTTTACTTCACTTGCAACACAATACGGTCATATAAGTGCCAGAGATCAGGTGTTACAAGAGAGAAACAAACACAAAAGACATGGTCCCTAACAAAAACCCTAGAGAGGAAGCTGTGTCATGCAAAATGAAATGTTTAAGAAGATCGGTTAACAAGACAAAATGAGACAAAATAAAAAATGAAGTCATAAGGGACATGGTAGGAGCAAAACCAGTCCTATCACACATTGAAAAACAAAAGATCAAGTGGTTCGGACACCTCACACAGATGCCCTCAAACCAACCAGCTCTGAGAGCATAAAACATTTAAGATTCTGGCTGGAGAGCCAGAGGAGGACCAAGGCGACGCTGGAGTGAATCTGTAGCAGACACCCTCAGAGCTCAAGGGATGTCCCTCCTACAGGCCACTCGCCTTGCTGCAGACAGATGCCTGTGTCTCCCCACAACACCCATTAGTGCAAGCGGAAGAAAAGAGTAAAGTAAAGAATGTATCCAGCGTATTAAAAATTGAACGAAATATTTATCTGTGGCACTTTGCGAAACCTTTGTTCACCCCTGGTTTAGGTTTAGGAGATGGGCTGTTTGAGCAAAGAGAAACATATCTACAAACAATAACAACCCCTAAGCATTGGGTCGGGGGGGGGGGGGGGGGGGGGTAGTAAGCGTTACACAAAAACAACAGAGAGAATTAAAAGAAGGAGGGCTAAAAACCAGCAACAATGAACACAAGCACACAACAATTTCTGATCATACAGCTAACCTGATCTGAGGCTGCGGGTGACAGTCAATTCGACAAGCAATATCAATGTTTGACCCCTCATCAACAGTTTGGCGAGCCACATCAGAGCCGTCCACTGATATGATGGGACTGTTGATATCTGTTGGGGGGAAAAATTTTTTGGGTCTCTAAAATTAATTCAATGTTGCGTGTGTGTGAAATTTGTTGGTCTCTAAGATTAATTCAAGGTGTGTGTGTGTATGCATGCCTATATGTGCACGCACGAGTGTGTGTGTGTAGGCGTGCGTGCATCCATGTGTGTGTGTGTGTGTGTGTGTTTTGAGCGGGGGGGGGGGGGTTGCATCACTCCGTAGCACACTCCCAGCTTGTGATCAGCACTTGTAATCACTTTCCAAGACCTGTGTTTTATCGTCAGTGGAAAGAGTAGACTTTCTTTCTCAAAAACAGCCATTGCAAGGAAACGACCCAAAAAATTCTTTTTAAGAAAAGTTCATTGCCTTTCATGAACGCAAACTAACTTTTCAAGACCTTTAAGTCTGGGTACCATGAACGCCAATTGCTACCTAACTTCCCATCAGGGAATGTAGCAGACATAGTTGGCCGATCCTCTTTCTAATTGCGAAGTCTTTAGGCTATCTTCATGAGTTGTCTGGTTTGAACATAGGAAGGTAAAGAATGTAAAGATCTCTACATCTTTTTTTATTTGCCATGTTGTAAAACATCTGTTTATTACCAATTTTGCGAAATACCTGTTTATTCAACATTTTGTGGAATATCTATCCATTCTACACCTATGAAACATTTGTTTATTTTTCATTTTGCGAAATATGTTTATTTACCATTTTGTCAAATCACTTTCTCAGAATTACAAAGTTCTGACATTTTTGGCCATATTGAATTACTAAGACCAAGAGATCAAAAAACAAATGTTGTATCTGGTCCATGTAATGATTTACAAAGAACTGCAATCGAAAAATCTTGACATAATGTGAAATGCAAATTTTTTTACATCAAATTTCTCAAAACTCAGCAGATAGAACAATGTAATTCTGAGGTCTGAGGTAGCGAAATATATATAATATCTGCTTATTCGCCATTTTGTCAAATATGCTCCAATCTGTTACCACATGTGCACAAAGTTTGTTCTGGTTTCAAAAGGCAACAAATAAAAAGGAAAGCCAAAATTCTTTTGATACTTACAAAACACCTCGAGACTGAAAGAATGTCGGACCTTGCCATACTTATTTTGAGCGCGACATCGGTAGCTTCCCGAGTCATAGCGGCTGACTTCCACATCAAGAACTGTGGGATCTTCAAGGCCAATCACAGGACTGTACCTGAGGATGAAGGTTCATACAGTCAGGAATGGATAACTCAAACATGTCCAGGATTGACAATTGGGTTTAACAAATCCATAATTTCCCAACCAATATCGCTTTTTTATTTTTCGTTATATCGGCTTAACTGAACTAACTCATTCGCTACGCCAAGCCGTGGGGGGCGGCGCGGCTAAAGTGCCGTAAATACGCTAAGCCGCCCCCACTGAAAATCGGAAATTTAGATTCAGCTTTGAAACGCGATTTCGTAGTTTATTCGACTTTGTTTTATCGCGATGCCAAAAATTATAGCCCGGACACCAGTCTTAGTAATTTTACACAACAAAATCTATCATTATTTTGTCCACTAAAGAAATGTAGGATTCTTTTTTATAATATTGATACGATTGGACTCATATTGCCAACGCACTGTTATTGAAAAATTAATATTTTTGAGTGCTAGATCTAGGTCTAAATCTAAATTGTCAAAATATTTTTTTCTCCCCAAAATCACTACTTTTTGATGAAATTACACAAAAAGTGCCACTCAAGACATGTATAGGTTTATTCCAAATGCAATTCTGAATAATTCCATATAAGATATGAGTGGGTTTTTTCTGTTTGTGATCGTTTTTCAAGATTATAAAAAATTTTATTTATTTTTCAATATCGGATGTTATGTTCCAAATGTACAAACATTATGGAATGTAGGTAAATAACTGCAAACTTTTCAATATTTTCCAGTTCTGTATTCATTTATGGTTATTTTGGTGTATCTTTTGACTAGGTGCAAACATATTTTTTTAGTTTTACCAAAGATTATAAATTTTTTATTTTCAAGTTTTATCCGCATCCAATCAAATTTGTGTTGCATAATCGCCTCTTACAGGAACCAAAGTTGAAAAATACATAAATAAACATTACAGATGTATTCTACAAACCATACTAAAAATATTGGTATATAATACGTTGATATTTATTTGAATTTGTTGCCCCAAAGACCTTTTAACTGCCCACTAGTCATCTCTTTCGTCCTCCCGAAAAAGAATTCGTCTACAAGCCGAAAATAATACGTAGCGAATGAGTTAAGAAATGATAGATAAGATGAGTTTATTTTCAAAAAAATTTCCCACTGGGACAAGAATGTATCATCTTATCTTATCTATCTATCTCATTTCAAGTAAACCAGTATAGCGAAAAATTACAGAGATATTGGTTGAGAAATGGCAAATTGTACAAGCTATCCATCCATGATTTAAGAGTTTTCCGTATCCGTGTTATCTGTGCACAACTGCTCTATCATTCATCAACTTTTCACAATAATCAATTTTCTGCCAGAAATGAAAACTGCTGACATCTTGACTTCGGTTATTTTTTTTTTAAAACAAATGAAACATTCGTACATTTGCTACTGAAAAATGATTATCAAGTCATAAGAAATGAGGAGTTGCTGGGAAAGTTGAAGGGACTGTTCAACTTCAAGCATCGCATCTGTAGTAGCCTTCAACAACTCACTATTAACAATTAATTCTTACCAATAAATCATTAACGATTATTTCATGATAAAGTTATGGACTTTGACTGGCTCCATTATAAATTACCTACAGACTTCAACATGAGTTAAGGACCATTTGCAAACACTTTGAGTGATCTTCTTGGGTCGACCTGCACGAGGGCTTTCCTGGACTGATCCAGTGGCCTGATGGCGCTGCCTCAAGTGGAAAATGGCAGAATGTGACATGGCAAGCCTTCTTGCAACTTCTCTGGAACAAACTCCACCCTACAGCCATGCCATAGCTCTGGCACGATCGAAGTCTCTCAGTTTTCGTCTCGGTGGCATATTGATGCGATACTGGATTTTGCGCAAATGGCGGCTTATATTGTCACTAAAGTGAGCACAAACTAAAGACCATACGTGCACCATAAATTTTTCCTGAAAAATGTCCGTGGTGTACCACACAAGTCGATAAAAAACATAAAATTTGGCTAAAATTTCTGGAGGATTTCCGTGCTGCACGTTGTGGTTTTGCCCCTTTAGGAAGCTTTGGTAACCCATTAACACTTTCAGAGCAAAAAAATTTGAAACATTCCTTGCTGTCTTTTTTTTTCGGATTTTAAAAAAAATCAAGGCTGTCTGTCAAGGTGGTCGCTAACCTATGATGAAATCTGTATTAGTTCATTTTTTAACTGAAAAAGCCTGATTTCATACAAACTCTCAGTTTCTTGTGACCATCATAGATGCAGGGAAATTGAAATGCCAGCTGGCCTCACCAGCTGAGAGTGGCCCATAAACATAACAAGACACATTACAGGGTGGAATTTGGCCCAAATCGTCAGAGCCCTTTCTTTTTTTGGGGGGGGGAGGAGTGGCAGAACATTCTCCTGAAAGAACAAATCTAATCTCCATCCCCAATTGAACGTAATAATTTGTAGAGAAATATCAAACACTATTTCACAAGTTAAAAAGGAATGGGGGGAAAAGGAGGTAGCAGCTTATTTGTGCTCTTACTTTGTAGTCTTGTTCTCAGGCTTGAACACCCAGGCGATCTCACATTGAGGCCAGCACTGCGCTTGACACGAGAAATGCAACTTTTCTCCCAGATTCAAGTTAAGAGCCGCACCATTTTTCATGAACGGGCTGATCATTATGTCACTCTGTCCTGGGGCATCTGTGATAGTAAGGAGAGTCAGATGAAAAGGGTTCAGTTTGAGAAACAGTTATGAAGCACTTGTAACACAAACAGGTCATATAAGTGAAGACGAATAGAGAGTAACATGTTAAAAAATGAGGAGAGCTAAGGATGATAGATGTTTGATAGGAAAGAAGGATCAAACCACATCAGAGCACCAGCTAATCACTTACTCATACAGGAGAACAAAAAACAATAGATTACAAACTTAACGAGGTGAGATTGGTTGAAGTGAAGCCTTTCCAAAGCTCACGGATGAGAAAGAAAGCAAGTCTGCAATTTCCCACAAAAAACATTGATATCTATCATTGGGAAATATGGTTTTACTTTCAAGTATAATTATCTTAAGCCTGGACCCTACAACACTGAAACAGCTCTCACATTTTGTAACCATATGCAAGTATAATAACAGAATCAAATCAGAAGTAATTTTCTCTGTCACATGCCCATACTCACACTCAAAAGTACTGAGACAGAATCAACTCAGAAAGTCTTTTAATTCTCATGTGAACATTAAAAAGTACAGACACAGAATCAAATCAGAGTGTCTTTTAATTCCAGGGCTGCCCACACACCAGCATATATGTTTTAGTAATCAGCAAATAAAAAATTTGTAATCAGGTTAACAAAACCGTAATATGGTCAGGGATCGTTTTCTTCCCAGGGGTGTCAAGGACAGGGGTTGTAGTCAAGCAAGTATAAAAGTAACATAAACAAAGGCATGATGATAAAAGAGGTCTTGATGGACTCATCACTGGTTCATTTAAGTTGGGTTTTTTTAAATGGGCAAAAAAGGTGGCTCATTGTATTTAGTTTCAAACAATGATCCATTTCTTTTTTTTTTAATAGCTCTCACTGGCCTTGGCTGTCACACATCTCACTGGCCTTGGCTGTCACACACAGCACAAAAAGACGGGATTTAGCTAATACCTTGTCAACCTAATGTTTACCTTACTCCTGGATTCAGCACTTCTGAAGTATGTTTTTCTAAGGGCAATGTGGGGCTGAGCAACTACAAGGGCTCAAGGCAAAAAAGAGGATGCTAACTGCAGACTGTCCGGGTCAGGTTGGTTTTTTTTTGTTTCCCTCATACACTGGGAGGGTTGGCAGTGGGTTGGGATACCCGAAATTTAAAAAAATCGGAATCAGGGGTATTACAATAGCATTTTCGTAAAATAAAAAGTCGTGACAATTCTGCCAAATTTGTAATAATGGGCAACCCTGTAATTCCAACACTCAGTCTCAGAAATGCAGAGACAAAATCAACTCAGAGGGTCTCTCTCTGTCACGTTCTATACTCACACTCAGGCTGAACAGTGAAAACCTCACTGGCATCTGACACCAACATAAGATTTTCATCACCCGTGTCATCTGCTGTTTTGCACGTAAAATTCAATCCCACATTCGAGCGAGACACGTCCTTCAGTATGAGGCGATCTTCCGAGTCCACAGACAGCTGGAAAAGGGAAACAACCATTTACAATGTCAGATTGAGTACTACAGCAAAACTATAAACAGATTTTCAGATATGCAACAAATGGTCACCGCCACTTTTCCTCTTCCTGTGAAGCATTGCAGCAGCTACATGAGTTTCTTCATTCCCCCAAACCCCCCCCTTTTATAAATCCTTTTCTGAAACCTTGAAAATTCCCTCAGTATAGGCCGATAAAACAATTTGGCATTCTATGTCGGGTGTACGTAGCTGAGGTTTCACATTAATGTTATTGTGAATATGCACCACTTCTCATTCACATACACACACACTCTACCACTTCACTCTTAGTTTGAGTTTTTCATCCTGTCACAACGCACTAGACGGAATCCATCAATATCCACACTGTCACTGTTGTTTGGAAAATTTTTTGTAAATCACAACTCGCTGAAACAAATAAGCGAGGGCTCTCTATTTGCTTCCTTTTCTTAACACTTCTCGCTTGCACTACATGCACAGACCCAAGAAATTATTATGTATAAAATACACATGGTAACAAGAAAAATATTTTTCAATTTAATGAAAAAAGAAGAATACCACACCATCCCAGAAATATAAAGAGAGAGAACTAAAAGAAAAAGTTTAAAAAAACAATTAAAGGGTGAAGGGAGGGACAAAGGGAAAGACACTTCAGGATGTGAGAATTTCTTATCAGTGTTTTTTCTACAAGCGCTGCGAAAGAAGCTTACCTGTGGGTCAGTTCCCCCTAGCAGACCAATATCCCGGCCCTGTGAGTCCTGCCACCACACTTTGGCCGGAAGGTTGTGGTCCTCTGGCAAAGTCCGAGAATTGACCGTACACTCCAGCATCAGAGTTTCCCCCACCAGCTGACTGAACCCATCCAGCACACTGATGACAGGACGGTCGGGTTTCCCTGAAGAGAAAAATCAGGGGTCATTTGCTTGAGATAAAAGAAGCATGAGGCAAGCAAAATCATGCATAATGGGCATTATAATTTTTTTTTTGCAGTCCAGTGATGGTGGTGTGACTAACCTTAAATCAAGGTAGTAAAGCGTAAAGTCCAAATTTAGTTTAGTATGAGGTTTTAAAGCGCTCACAATTGCATACGGTCATATGAGCGCGCGAAACACTTAAAATTCAGAGTAAACATATTTTCAATCTATAAAAATTTTTAATAATTTAATTTCATTCTATAATTTCCCATAAAGGCCAATAGCCTTCATAAAATCTAAAATTCTGTTGGGAACAACAACGGAAAAAATGTCTTGCAATTTCTTGCATTTAAAGTATTTCCTCCTGGTCTCTCTGAAGTCTAGACATTCGGTTAAAATGTGTCTATTGGTAAAATCTGCGTCGCATCTGACACACAACGGCTTCTCTTCTCCCTGAAGGAGGTATTTGTGTGTTAGGGCCGTGTGTCCAATGCGTAATAGAGTAAAAATAACTTCGTCTCTTCAGGAGAGGCCCGAAGAATTTCGCAGTTTTAGTTTGGGTTTAATATTGTGCAGTTTGTTATTTGTTGTTTTTTTCAAATGGCTCTCCCACAGACTGGAAGTGTACTTTTTAACTTTATTTTTAAAGTCAGTCTGTGGGAGAGTGTTCGTCGTTGATCCCAACAGAAGGGATAAGGATTTCTTCGCCAGGTCATCTACCTGCTCGTTTCCTCGGATGTCCACATGGCTAGGTATCGATGCGAATACGATACTTTTCCCTGTTTCAGTTAAGTGTGTATTTTCTGTTGTGGCCTAACTATTTTTGGGTGTAGGAGTGTGTAGTTTGTAAGAGAGGTGATGCAAGACAGAGAGTCAGAAAGGATAAGGAAAGATTTGTTAGGAGAATTTTCTACAGAGTCCAGTGCCATGTCCAGTGCCATGTCCTACTTCTCGCCGGGACCGGTCCCGGTCCGGAGAAATTAACTCGTCTCATGTCCCGAGAAATGCTTCTCGTCTCATGTCCCGGTCTCGTGTCCCGAGAAATGCTTCTCGTCTCGTGACCAATTTCTCTTCTCGCCCCACAAGTACGGGCTACTCGGTTAGCAAGAAGGCCGGTCGTGGCGGGGATCTAAACTTGGCTAGCCCTGTTTCGCAGGCGCAGGCGGAGAAGGAAGGTAGGGAGATCTAGGCCTAGGCCCTGATCAACTCCCCACTCGCCTCGTCTTGCCACCCTCTTCCCTCCCTTTCAGTTTCACACACAGGACGGCACGGTGATGGGTGGCACTGTCTGCGTGTCATTTCTCGCCTCTCACTCTCGTTACTGTTACTCATTATGTCAAGCCAACGAGCAGTATCACTTCTCTGTACCGAGCAGTAGTTTAGTGCCCGGGCAGCGATGTGAAGGGCATTTCTCACGAGAAATGTGTACTCGGCTCGTCTCGTGCCCGCCCCTATTGTCTGTATAATATACTTACTGTTCATGACATACCTTCAAGTTCTGCTTAACCTTCCCATTTCAAGGAATTTTAGTGATCAAAAGTTTGTTTACAACATACCTCGTGCAACGGAAAGCAATAGTTTTACTGCACTCAGGAAGGCAACGTAATCAGCAGCAGTGAGAAGACAAATTTTTCCTACAGTAGTTTTGCCATTAGTGGGTGTTTACACATCCCCCTCCAAATCTCTCTTCGCTCTCTATACATATCTTCCAACTAGGCAGATTCAATTCTTAAAGAAGACAAATTTTTCCTACAGTAGTTTTGCCATTAGTGGGTATTTACACACCCCCCCTCCAAATCTCTCTTCGCTCTCTATACATATCTTCCAACTAGGCAGATTCAATTCTCAAAGAAGGAGCATGCATAGAACGAAGTTGGGGTAAAAAAAAAAAAAATTTTAAAAAGGGAGAATTGAAATCTTTTCCTGGTAACAGAAATGCTGTGTTAAACTACTTCGTTGTAAACCAAGTCTACTGAAGATAAGGCTACCTAACACACAATGATAATGGACAAGAGAAAGACAGACTTGGTTCCACTATAGCTCATAAAACATTCAAAAATAGCAAAAACAAGACTGAAACGCCATGGACACAAGAACACAAGAAAAACCCTCAGATGTAAAATGACTTAAATCAAATCATTATATTAGAGACCCATGTTCCCTGGCAAGGTATAAAAAAACAGTTAAAATAATATCTTTAAATGCTTTGTGCTGAGGCATATTTTTAGTTTTCTTCATCTTGATTAATGTAATGTTAGTAAACCTGGAGAGAGAGAGAGAGAGAGAGACAGACAGACAGACAGACAGACAGACAGACAGACAGACAGACAGACAGACAGACAGACACATAAGATGGTGTTAGTCAAAAGACCACTATACAGTAGTCTCCGCCTAAGATCCCAGTGCTTGGGAGCAAGGAAAACGCCGGATCTTAGGTGAACGGGATCTTAGCCAACAAACCCAGGGAAGAATCTACGGTGACCCTTGTTAAGGCTCAGAACCGGTGGTAAAATGGTCTCCCTCCAATCTAGTTAAAATTCAGTCTGTCTCGCAAATTCGGGAAAAGAGAAAACTGCTGCAATGGTCAGGGAAGAGTTCACAGTTCGATGTGATCCCATGTGGGCACCCTACCCACCCAGCGACAGATGTAAGTTAAGGTGGAGAACTCAGATGCGAGTGCGATGTTTGGGCAAAACAAACCTGTCGTTCAGTTCTCGCCTCTGTGTGACCTAGTTTCGGGCAAACATTGATGTACCGCTTCATCGAGTTTTACAACAATATGATCACATTCACAAAAGTGGCTGATCTTTGACACGACGGGCAGTTCATTGATCTCAACTTTTCACTCTTGGTTGACCTTTTGTGCCTGCCCGGGCTTTTATTCCATAAATCATTATCTGAAACAAAGGATCTTAGCTGAATGTAGACCTTCAGAGTGAATCAGAACAGGATCTTAGGAGAGACTTTCGTATAGTAAAAGTTCTGTTTTCTTAAAACAGCAGGATCTTAAGCGAACCGGGACTGTCAGCAGTGGGATCTTAGGCGGAGACCACTGTGGAACTGTGTTGTGTGTATTTTATTGAAAAGCGCATTTAGCAGTTTCTTGGAGGAAATTGAAATGCACAGTATAAATGCATTTCATTATTGTTATATCACTATTACTGTACTATTACCCTGATAAGAAAGAAAGAAAAAAAGGAAAAAAAAAAAAAGAAGATGACGCAAATCCCCCATCCAAACACCATTCAGTACACAACAGTATCTCTCAGATACCAACTGCAATGAGCTGCTGGCTGCAGTTTTCTACCCCAATATCCGCTAACTTTAGAAAACACTTGAAAAAGTTGGCACCCACTCCCTCGACTGGATTGAACTTTAACCTGACCGTACGGTCCTCAGTATCACGAGAGAGAGAGAGAGAGAGAGAGAGAGAGAGAGAGAGAGAGAGAGAGAGAGAGAGAGAGAGAGAGGGAGGGAGGGAGGGAGGGAGGGAGAGGGAGAGGGAGGGAGAGGGAGAGAGAGAGAGAGAGAGAGAGAGAGAGAGAGAGAGAGAGAGAGAGAGAGAGAGAGAGAGAGGGAGGGAGGGAGGGAGGGAGGGAGGGAGAGAGGGAGGGAGAGAAAGAGAGAGAGAGAGAGAGAGAGAGAGAGTGGGAGGGAGGGAGAGAGAGAGTGGAAGGGAGGAAGAGAGGTAGGGGATCACTATAAAAACTGTGTTGTTTGTATTATTGAAAAGCGCATTGTGAGCAATTTCTAGATGGAAATGTGCTGTATAAGTATAAATGTAATTCATTTTTTAAATTATTATTATCACTATTATTATTATTATTATTATTATAATTATCATTAAAAAAGAAAGAGAAGAAAGCCGGAACCAAAAATTATATTTTTTAAAAACAAACCGATCCAATAACTACATTGAGTACACAACAGTATCTCCCACATACTCACCAACTACAATGAGCTGTTGGCCACAGTTTTCTATCTCCGTTTCTGTCAGCTTTTCAAAACACTTGAAGGAACCAGCATCCACTCTCTCCACTGGACTGAACTTCAACGTGACCTTACGGACCGCAGCATCAGTGTCCGCCTTGACGCGAGCCTCAAATTCAGATCTAATCACCGTAGTAAATTTTTGTGGATACACATACAATATCGGCAGGACTTTCGGCAAATTCACAAGCTTTATGCTTACGAGTTTGGTATCACCAACATCAGGAAGAGTGATTTCCACGTTTGTTTGTGAATTTTCCAAGGCAATCAAAGGCTGAGTCTGCTGCCCTTGACATTCTGAGAAAGGATGGCGTGAAAAAAATGAAACATTGTAAATCTGTGAAAAGAAAACTGCAACCATGTTTTAACTTTACACGGTGACCTCTGACCTGTGCTCATCTTGAAAAGCATTCAAAACCCACAAAACACAGCTCTGAAGAAAATTTTACAGCCAAGTTGCGGATGTCCCCAAACCGTTTCAGCGAAACTAAGGCTGAGCCATTTTCAAGCCCAGCAAAACTCATTGCTCAACATTACAAGACAGAAAAGTATTCAATCCATGTAAAAAAAGACAACAAATGCATCATAAATTACCTTCCATTTGATCTTATAAAAATCTAAATTTTTCAAAAGAATAACTTTAAAATCTTAGCAATAGCCTAGTATCACAAAACAACTTAGTCCAGGGCTGGCCCTGTCTGATGGCTATTTCTGCTCACCTACACTGATCCAGAGACTTATTTTAAGGGAAGAAAGAGTTTGGTTTATGTGCAGAAAGTGGCTATTCTCACCCGCCCGGAAGTTCTCGCAAGATCAACTCCTCCCCTCTTCTCTCTCTCTCTGTCTCTTTCTGAATACTGTCTATCGGTGTGGACGATCAAATTGACCAAAACAAAGTTAAAAAATGATGTTAAAACACAAAAGTAAATTAATTTGGTTGTCTACAAAGATGCTACGGCTATTTAACTTTTCGAATCGAGCCGAACTACGCGGGTCGCCATTTTGTTTTGCCCGGAAATTCTTGCGCTACTCCTCTCTCTCTTTCTCTCTCTCTCTCCACTGCCCACAGACAAAATTGTACGCTTTTAGTAGGCTACAGTTGTAATGGAACGTTTGTTCACGGCACAGAATTCTACAATTTTTCTGTTATCACAGTGTAGAATTCTGTGGTTTAGGGTGAACGCAAAATTTGGTGAACGCGCACCGGGTGAGAATAGCCACAAGACTCGCCTGCACTATTCTCACTCCGGGTGAGAATAGAGGTGGCCTTATGTGCAGGTAATTCTGACACACTCTAAGAACATTTAATTTCTTAAGACCATTCTCTCTCTTTTTCACTATCTTCTATTCTCCTCTTTGATCTTTTCTCTCGAGATGCTTCCTTTCCTTCCTCTTTCTTCAACTCCCTTTGCTAGTTTAAAACACAAACAAATATCAATACAGCAAAGTGTACTTATTGTGAAAGAGTGAGAACCCAAGAAAAGTATATCTTTACAGAGACTAGACTAAAAGTTTTTACACTGTGTATTAGTATTTGATTAATTAATAAATAGTAAATTTGTCAAGAGTACTGGTGAGTAAAAACAATGAGAATTAGATAAACCTCTCCATCTAATTTGGTTCTATTATTGCCACATTTCAATGAAAATAAAGTAAAGGAATAATTTTGATACATAACCTGAAACACAGAAGAAAAAAAAAACAACTCTGTTGAGTCCATGTGAAATTTCCATATATGTGACTTGAATAATTATAAAAGTATGGCACTTTGAAATATGATTATTGATAGTTATCCTTTGGGACCTAGGTACCGATTAACGGGAAGAGCTACCCTTGAGGACCATTTTCTATGTCTGTTGCCCAAGATCAAATCTAAGTACACATATAAATTAGGCATAGTAAAATCTCTTGATGCACCATTTTTTGGGGGGGGCACAGCAACAACGGTTGCTATGGAAACGGCCGCCATCTTTAAAATAAACAATGAATTTCAAATCCCTAAGGCTTTCTTATTTACCAACCAAATTTGACCAAATGTGGTGAGAGTGTACCTGAACTAGACCCTATCAGAGTAACAGCAAGCTTATTTCAATAAGTGCAAAAGAAAAAAATATATGAGAATTTTCCCAAAGTATAAAACACTTTTTTAAAATTTAGGTTGCATAATCGCTTGCCAATGGAAAAGTGTTATTGTTTTCGCAAATATCTCTCTGTTACATTGATGGCAGCCTTGCCATCTATGTATCCTGAAAGTTTCATCTCAAAGTGATGAAAACTAAGGAAGGAGTAGGGAAAAAACGGCAAAAAAATTACATTTTGCGAAAACTGACTATTATTGTGAAAATCCACTATATTAACCCATCGTCATGTTTTTAAAGGCAATTTACGTGGAGAATAAACACTTTCTCAAATGTATCCATGCTATTTTTGGACAAAAAACTGGTTGATCTTGAAAAATCAGCCAACAGAAAATTTGCATAGCCTGACCCAAAATCTGCAAAATCAAGGGTCGCTCCTCCCCTTAAGAGACTACTACTACTGAACTGGAAGAGTAATTGAAAGTAATAGGCTATAGGCTTCCAACCCCTAAAGAAAGCTCAAATTACTTCACAGTCCTTTGGTCACTTCATTCCTTTTTAACTCAGCCCGCCAAGGGATATATATAAAGATTGCATTCCCATCTGCCCCTGAATGAACTTTATAAATGACAAGACTATTACACTTCCACAGGATGAGACCTTTTCTTAAAAGTGGAATAAAGCCATTTTACTATGCACCTCTAATTAAATGTAAAAAAACAACATGTTTCACTCAGACACGTACCTTGTGCGAAAATGGTAAAAACTAAAAGCAGAATTAACTTCTCAGTTTTTTCCCAAACTTCCATCCTGTCATAGACAACAAAGTAAGGGACCTGGAGTCTGCAGATCTGTTCACAACCAGTAGCTTTGACAGCTTTCTGTGACAACCACACTCACAGATTTGGTAAATATTGTCATCAAAATGCTTTGCAAGACGTCACCAGGGCTTACTGGATTCTGGTTTCCTGATAATATATCCCAGTCCCTGTATATGCTTTTACTCAATTTCTGAGGAATAAAAGGAAAAATCAACCATCACACACAAGTTTCATTTTTTTAAATTTGAAGCTTTTAACTCAATTGCCCAGGGGCAAAGGACCCGGTCTACTGGCTGTGCCTAGTGGTTTAACCCTATCCATACGCTTTGGGGTCATTTTGTACCCCCGGGGTTGTATTCTTCACATTTTAGAATATACTTCTAGTACGAAGCTCTCTTTGAAACTTTCAGTATTTCTCAAAAAATCATTTTGACAGACTGCTATGCAAAGCATACGGATAGGATTAATGAGTAATTTCCTCTTTGAAAAGTGGTGGCACAGAGTTCCCCACATATGGATACGATAGTAAAACACAACGTATGGATAGGGTTAAGGTGTTTTTGTTACATCGGAAATAAATACTAACACAACTTCAATAGCCGTAATATTTCACACACAATTTGTTTAGTCATTACATGGACTATTAGTGTTTACAGAATTTGAAAATATTTGATAGTCTGTGAGATATTGCCATTTGAAAAAGGTCAGCAAAGGGGTTGTCTTAGACAGGTGGACATCTTGGACAGTGTCGTTATAAAAAAAACACAAAGGGTAAAATAGGAAGTGGTCCTGGGTCATTTGTACAAGTAAGGGATAGTCTTGGACAGGTGACCTTTCTAGCAGTTAGAGCAGGTTTGTCTGTGGTTTATATTTTGTTCCGGGTACCATTAAATACCAAAACTCACTGGAACTCACTAAAACTCGCCGAAAAAATTTTAAAACTCACAGAAACTCGCCAAATCTCATCTTATAATTTCATTGTCAATAAAGCGACACTTAAGACTAGACATGTAAGCAATGGTATGATGCACGTGTACTCATAAAAGGCCTCTCAGTTTTTAATGCTACCCATCACTGCTATTATGTAACAATGATTCGAGAAACTCTTTTCTCGGCTGGCGGTATGATCAGGGCGGCAGGCATTAGTCAATCTAATTTCACACTTCTGGCTACCCAGGAAAGTTTCCGTAGTGGTTCGCTACTCGAGCACTCTCACGGGCAGTCGTGAGATTTCGCACCCACACCACTCTGACCATCTGCATCGCTCAGGGCTCGCATATGATGGGGTAACATCTACCCCCAAATTGCACCCCTACTCCCCATCGCTCGCCCAGCAGCATGGCCATGGCATTAACTTTAGAGCCGGCGGAACCAAACTTGCGAGTTTTGTTTCACATCAGGGCAGAGTGGGCAAAGCATTTTCCGTCTTAGACAAGTGAAACCTTTGGAAGGGAGCGTATTTTCTTTCCGTTTCCGCGTTGGACAGGTTTCCGTTTTATACAGGTAATTAAAAGGGAATATATCAAGGGGGGAGCGGGGAGATTCCGTTAAGAAAGGTTTCCATTTTATACAGGTTTTCGTTAAGGCAGGTTCGACTGTATGTTCTGAACTTTACCTCTTCATTCTCCACAAGAAGGGTCTAACCTGAAAAGGTGGCCTGTCATAACATCATTACAATTGACATGAGTTTGTGGCAATTTTGCCAATGTGAGTGTCAAAATGTCTACAAAATGGGGTCAATATTTCTGACTGGGACCCTTTTCAACTCAAAATAAAATCATTAGGCTGCAGTTACAAAATACATAGAATTTTATGTGACAAACAGAAAGAATGACCGAACACAAGATTTTAGAAAAAATGGAAAATGTGAAAAGAGACTTTGAAAACAAATTGGTAGCCAATAATTTTTTGTTCTTTTCATCTGTAAACAATCCGAAAGTAAATATAATTTTAGACTCTACAAAAACTTTGGTGACAATGAGTTACAACTTTGAATCTTACTTGAAAGTAGGCCTATCTTCTGCTGGCAGTAAAATCAATGGAATGGCTCTCAACTGTTTAAGTACCCCAGTGAAATTCAATATGCTAGGGCCAGAGAAGATGTCCAGGAATGAGAATGTCTCTCCCAACCAGTACTAGCGCACACTATACTGACTCAGACTGTCACCACATTTTTTGTACTGACACTATTTCGCATAAAAGACTAATAATATACAGTCAAACCTGCCCTGACGGCCACCTCTATAAGACAGCCCCCTGTACAAACGACCACTTTCCATTTCCCCCCTTGCGTTTTTTCTATAGAATTTAACTGTGTAAAACGGGCACCTGTCCAACGCGGCCGCGGCCACCATAATTTAACACACCTAAGTAATAACACCTGTCTTAGACGGCCACCTTAGTGACTACATTACGTTTTGTCATAAATTGTGCATTGGCCCCTGGCCTTGTGGGCGAGCCATCATAATTCAATCACCTGTCGTTGTTGTTAGGTAGTCCCTCCAACCGATCATGTTGCGTAGGCCCCTCCCACTGTTGATCAATAGCTACCAATTTTCAACTGCTGGTGAGTTAAGCGTGTGATCCCTCATAATCCATAAGCCCCACCCAGAACCCATACACAAATCGTACGTGAGATGAGTGGTCACTGTTTATCCAGTCTGTAACAAAGTAACAAAGGACGTCAACATGAACTTGTGACAGAAGCGTCCCTCTTTCCCCAAGTGGTGGCAACCCATGTTTTTATTTTAAGATGGCACTCGGTCTTCCTCGTCTGATACATTTCGTTTTATTGTCACCCTTGTGCAAAATCAGCAACAAAATAAAAATTACAAACGAAATACAAACCAACAACAGCAACAACAACAACAAAGACAACAACAATGGTTCTACTTTCGATTGGGACCTCAGATGGGAATGGTTTGTTTTCTTCATCTTGATCAGTCCTGCCTAAGACGGCCACTTTTCTCCTTGACAATGGCTGGCCGTCTTTCACAGGTTTGACTGTACGCGTATGTGTAAAGTATGACATTATGAATGATTGAATGGCGGCCTTCGTGACCACATACTGCTTTTGAGGGTAACCGGTCATTCGTCACACAGTCATCTCGTCACACCCTAATTGTGTGTGATGAAATTACTTTCCTTAAATCTAGCCCTAGAAGCGCAGCATTTCCCTGGAAGTAACCCGCCCCAAAAGCATTTTGCATTATAAAGGATGCTGAAATTTTCCATAGAAAAAGGCCAGGGCCTAGATGCCCTCATAGGGCCTGCGCACTTCGCAGGTAGCCCGGCTCGCACCCACCCCTCCCACCAATAAAAACAACTTAAAAACTTTAAAAGTTTGAGAATGTTGGCATGATTTATCATTGTAACACTAATGGTATGGGAGTGAGGGGTTGCAGAGAGCTATATTCACTGACTGGGTAAATTAGTTGCCTCTTACCTGTAGCCTGTCGAGAGGCTATTTATATTTACGTTGAAAATTCAACAGCCACTTTAAAAAGATAAACCTGCCCTTTCTAATACAAAGTTTAAAAAAGAAATGTGCCAAAAGGCGGCATGGATAAAACAGCCACTTTCTGCTCAGCTTCATGCCGATGATCATGACATTTTCATTAACATAAATCATTATGTTATGATAGATCTAAATTATAACTGACGGTCATTAAAAACGCACCATTTTGGACTAAAATTTATCCAGTAACATCAATTGAGGTTGACAAAAGTTCACGGGCAACAGAAGTTACCGATCACACAAAATTTGAAGTTCCCAGTTCAAAACTGTCAATGCGCATGTGCAATATGCAAAAAATCCGATGTGTCGACCTCAAACCTAAACTTTGTTTAGCGAGACAGATTTTTCGGCTGTTAAGGAGAGATTATATTCACCCATTATTTTTCTTGCCAGCACCAGAAACAGGTCGTCAAGCGGTTGATCGGCGTGTACCAGTATCTGAATGGACCATGCGACGCCGTTTACGGGAAGCAGGACTTGCAGCCAGACGCCCATACGTTGGTCCTTTCCTGACACAGAAGCACCGTCAACAACGTTTGCAGTGGGCCAGGCAGCTTTTGCAGTTGACGAGAGTCGATTTGCCCTCTCGCATGCTGACAGGAGAAGAAGGGTCTGGAGACGCCCAGCGAACGCTACGCCAACTGTTGCATGCTGGAGGTCGATAGATGGGGAGGAGACAGCGTCATGGTATGAGGAGCGTTCAGCCACGATTATCACACACCACCATACTTCTTCGACCAGCCTGTGAATGTCAACACGTACCAGCAGGTTTTACAGAACCCCTTCGTGCCGTTATTTGGTCAACACCCAGAGCTGCAGTTATTCCTACGCTCTCTCCCACCCTGCTCGAGCCACCAGTGCTTTTCTGCAAACAAACAACATTGATATCCTGTCTTGGCCATCACTGTTTCCAGACATTACACCAATTGAGCATGTGTG